ATTATTCCTGTAATTTCTTGGCGTATTGCTGCTTTCAATTCGTCAATGGTTCGGGGGTGGTGTTAAAAAATCTTCGCTTTCAGGTAGCCCCAAAGGAAAAAGTCGCATGGGGCAAGATCGGGTGAACGCGCAGGCCACCCAACGTCTCCACGTAACGAGATTACGCGTCCTGGAAACATTTCCCTTAAAACGTCCATTGTCCTTCTTGCCGTATGAGCCGTAGCTCCATCCTGTTAAAACCACACATCCGAATGTTCAAGTTCTCTAAGTTTTGGTCACCCGATCTTGCCCCATGCGACTTTTTCCTTTGGGGCTACCTGAAAGCGAAGGTTTTTCAACACCATCCCCGAACCATTGACGAATTGAAAGCAGCAATACGCCAAGAAATTACAGGAATATCGCCTCAAATTATTGCTCGAGTGATGGAAACTTTTAGAAATCAGCTTCGAATGTGTATCGAAAAAAATGGTCGCCACTTGGACTCTGTAATTTTCAAAATTCAATAAAAATAAATGGCAAAGCATAAATTTTCAGTTAATAAAAATAAAATTTAAATAGCATTTACAATGGCGTTTTTATTAAAGATTAAAATGTGGGAGATCATTTTGCCTGTATAATACTTACGGCAAAGGTAAATTATGAAATCGCGAAATTTTGCATTAAATCGACTGTACCAACCAAGTGATTTATTATCTGAAATATTAATAATTTTTTTATTGAATATGTACTTTTTTGCATGACAACTTTACTTTTTTTATATAACTGTACTTTTTTTATATAAGTGTACTTTTTTTTATCAAATAATGATTATTTACAAAATAAAATCAGATTAGTAATTTAAATCAAAAGCGTTTATTATAACTGTTGTAATTTACGGTTATTTTTCTGCCATACAATATAAAAATGAAACTTTAAAATACAGAAAATATTGTAACCGAATAATTAATATTGTAATAATGTTAATATATTTTTGTATGGTTGTGAAACTTTTTAAGAAACTTTATTACTTAATATCAATATTTGCTTAATCTTAAAATAATGCTTATTAATAAATATTGATAATAATACAATAACTTGCATTAAAGATATAAGTAATAATTTAGTTTTATGAAAATTACATATATATATTAATTTATTTTTGTCATCTTACAAAAATTTAGAATTTATATGATTTATTCAATTCACAGACAAATAAAATCGTGAAAAATCAGTTTTTTTAATAAAATAAATATTAAAAAATTAGATTACAAGAATAAAATTAATATACACTCATCAGTTAAAAGGCTGCAATACTTTTTTTTAATGGGGTTTTGGAACCCATCAGCCTTGTAGCATTCTTGAACGTAAATGGTTAGATTCATAAGAACCAATCGCTCAAGAAGCAAATTAAATTCCGAAATCTACCAAAAAAAAGTGTTGTAACCTTTTAACTGATGAGTATATATAACTTCTATACAAATAAATTATTACTTATACCCTTTTTAAAGTATAATTTTTTTAATAAGTAAAAAGTAATTTTACTTAATCAGAATCAGATATATTAAATACATTTAAATAATTACAATAATTAAAATAAAAATACACTCACATTTTATACCATGCAGCTGATAGGTAAATTTTAGAAAAGCATGTTTATCTATAGTTACATCCATATACCATAATCCATCTAATATGGCTGATGCTATATCATAGAATTGCAATGGAGCATTAATCAAATATTGTGTCAAAACATTGTTAACTTTTTGACATAATTCACGAGTTTCTGCTACAGTTTTGCGACATAGATTTAATCTGTAAATAATGACAAATAATTATTAAAACTTATGAAGAATTATAGAATTTATAATATATATACATATATATAATTGTATTTATACACGTTGATTTTTTTTTAAATAAAATGTACTTTTGACATTTATTACCGATCGGGAATTTCCAACATATGACCTGTCACACGCCAGAAATGATTAAGTGCTTCTTCTTCTTGTGGTTTAATGGACAAACCGATCGATTTTGGAGTCATTAATATATATCCTATAAAAGCGAATTGTGTGATTGCCATATCTCGTTTGTAAATTCCTCCGACACCAGCGTTCTCTGATCTCCTACTACTCATCTTATGTTTTCGATGAATTACGTTTAATGTTTTGTACAAGCTAATAAAATATAAAAATACAAAACTTTGTGTAAATATTAAATACTTTTTTTTCATAATATTAGTGTTTTAAAGAAATTTTTTTAAGAAATTTTGTAATATTTTGATGTAGAAATAAAATTAAGGAATAAATTTGAGTAATTATATAGTTATAGAAGGTAAGAAAAATGGCAATTAAGCGGAATCAGATTATAGCTCTTGTAAACATTATATATACATATATATATATAATATATATAATACACATATATATATATGTATATATATATATATATATATATATGCATTAGATTATAAGAGTTAAATAGTTTTTATTTCTTCAATTCATGTTTATCAATGCCTATATAGGTATATGTATTGATAAACATTAATTATATGAATTGAAGAAATAAAAAATATTTAACTCTTTAAAGAATTATATCTCAAATAGCAATAAAAATCGAAAGAATCCTGCATTATATTCCCATACTTCATAAGGCGAAGAGCCTTATATTCGCGAAAGACACATATCTTCATAGAAAGTACCTATAGATGCAAAACATATAAAAACATATAAAAGACTTTGATAAAACTTACTCAGAGTTTGGATCGTTTGGATCACATGTATACAGCTTGTACATATGTATCAGAGTTTGGGTATATCGGCTGAAAGTCACGCAAGGCATACTGTTTTTTTGTGTGTATACGAGTACCTATTAAAAATCCACAAAATGCATTTTTAATCATTCGATTAATAAACAATGTTTTATTAATTTTTTTTTCAAATCATTGAATTCTATTGTATAATACAAAAATAATTAAAAATATTCTGTGATATCCTATCTTAATATTAATATTAATATTCTATCTTAATATTAGAATTATTATAATATGATTGTGAAAAAAGTCTGAAAATATCTTTTTCATTATACAAAGGAAATTATTTACAACTATTTTTATTATTTGACAAATTTATATATATATATGTACAGTTTCTTGTGTTTATAAATGATTTAATTATAAAAAATAAATTTTCTTACTCTTAATGTTTCCGGGACTACTATTATTGCAATAAGTCCAGCAATACTCGCTTGCACCATTGATATTAAGTTTTGCTTATAATAATTTTGAGCTCTGAAATAAAAATATGCAATTTGCGTCTAATATAAATGTTATTGAAATTTTACTGCTGGTAATGTATTATTAATGCAATTATTGTCCAAATAGTTTAGAAATTTCTGTAATTTGTATTGAAATTTTATAAATAATTTCTCCAAGTATTATTTGATATTGCATGTGTATTTGTCATAAAAATATAGCATTGTGCTTGAATAATATATAATAATGTTATATTTATTTTATATTCATTATCACTATGATTGACTAGTTGATTTTTTTCGGGTATAATTAACACAAAGAATTTTTAGTTATCGTGGATCACATTACATTAACATTATTACTCATTACTTTGCAGTTTCAACACTTGATATTACTTTTTCTTTTGAATACTTACTTTTTAAATAATTTTTCATTATACCAATGTGGAAGATTATTGGGCGTTACATTCATAAAATTTGGGTTAATTATATTATCATCACTCAACAATAATTCAAAATGTTCATCTACCGTCGGTGTTTGAACTGCAATTATATGTAAATATTAATTTCGAATAATTTCCCCGTATATAATGCTATAATTTGGATTTAATGATATGTTTTTTTCGTTTATTTTCTATTTATTTATTTAATTTGATACGATTACAATGTACACTACATGTATATATTTTTTTTATTAAATGTATAGTTAAAAATATGAAAAGAAAGAGCATAAAGAACCACAGCACAAGATGTAGTTAGTGATATTTAATCTCCTCTCTCGCACTTAATAAATAATTCTAGAACTTTCTAAACTTGACTCATGGATATAAATAGCGGAAAAATATGTGATACGACTAATAACAACACATACTGTCACGACAAATTTCTATCTGTGAAATGAGTATACTTGTAATTCATCGATTATTTTATTGTAAAACAGGTAATGTTTTCTTTGTTTTATACTCCGTTTTAAAAGATATTAATAATAAAATAAATTATTGTAAATTAGAATCTGAAAATTCTCGTTCTACACTTTTTACTACATGACTTCTGACGTTCTAATATTATTATATGAAGCAGCGTCGCTTTGATGCAAACACGATCTTTACAATTATAACACACGAGGGTTGAATTTAATTCCAACTTGATGTAACTCTGTGTCTTAAGAATATTATCAATTTTATTGAAGATGGCCAGATTGTGGCCGAAACGTTTAATGTTTTTATTGTAATTCGTAATGAAAGAATAATTAAATATCACTAACTACATCTTGTGCTGTGGTTCTTTATGCTCTTTCTTTTCATATTTTTGAAATTATAATCACATTCATTTTTTACATTTTTAAATGTATAGTATTTTCATTACTAATTATTATCTAACTATTATCTTTTATATCTCTTCAATTCTAACCTACAACTATGAAAATTAAATCTAAGTTCTAAAGCGTCCTGTTAAAATATTGCAGAATACAAATGAACTATTCCTTGAACGGCAATTAATAGAGCAAGGTTCAAAATTTTTTGACCTATGATTTAAAACCTAACATTATTCGTATAAATTATACAATTGTCTAAAAATTTTCACTTCCTTTCAGATCTAAATGACCTGTTGCTGTAATCGAGAGTTAAATTTTATAATTTAATTCTACTTTATAATTTAACTTTACAGCTTTAATATTCATGGTAATGTAACAATTACAACATAACAATTTTCTTTGTCGATAGGTACTTACTATCATCAATATGCTTTTCCTCCATCTCTGGTGCGATTTGATTTAAGTTGGAATTAAATGGTCACATACACACAACAATATATTACCTTTTCTAACTTAATAATAAATTTTATAACAAAAAAATTTTTTCTTTGAATTGTAAAGTCAAAGAAGTATTTTTAAACACTTTGCACGATAATGTAATATTGCAAAAATGCAATTCGTTTGTAAATAATAAAGATACGACACGATATCTTTGCTTCGGTATATATATTTGCTTCGACAATTCGGCAAGAATGTTGCAGATTATTCTCTGTTACACGATTTATATAGTTCCCAAATCATAATTTTTTGGACCAACGGATATTATTTTTACTAATATGATGAAATTCAAATTTTTTTTTCTTAAAATTCAACCGAACGTTTTACACAATAATATGATATTGCAAAAATACAAGTCATTCGTCATAAAATAATGAAATGCAAGATATATGCAGTAGTTCTGTTCACTTTAAGAGTTCACAATGAAATTGCAAATACTCTCTGTCACATGAGATTTATTGAGTTTACAAATCAGTATATATATTTATGGCACAACTAAGGGAATAATATTTTTTTCCGTTCTGAGAAAATATTGATCATAGACTCGAACATCATCCAATACTTGATATTGTTAAGACTATCATATAAATGTTTTGTTTGTTGTTACATAAAATATTCTGGTTTATAAGTGATTGTTACAGATTGGATTTTCCATGTTTTGTCTAAAGAATTCAAATGTCATTGAAGTGAGTCATGAAATTGTTTTATATGCCCTCGTTCCATCTCACAAACATTTCTGATCTTACTGCTATTAATATTAGTAGTAAAAAGAAATCCATTATTTTTCCAATAGACTAGAATAGGCTTTAGTAATCTATATCTCGTCTACGCGTGATAATATAATAATGTTACTCGAGAGTTAAACTTAAAAGAAGTTGTGTACGGGTGCGTGTGTGTGTGTGTATATGTGTGTATTTAAAAATCCAAAAAATAAAAACAATACCTAAAAATAATAAGCCTATTCAATGATAATTATTAAAAAAACAATTATTATATAAAAAATTACGATGTTAAAAATGAGATTCTTTCACAAATAAGTGTGAATAATGCGTTGCAATAAATTTTTGTTTCTCATTAATTCTACAACGCAATATCTGAACACCAAATAAGAAGAATTCTCTTTAAAAGAGATAGATCATTAAAAGAAATGCAGCTTTAATAAACTAATGAGCGCTATTTGGTTAGATTTATATACATATTGATTAGATAATCTATTTTCTATATTTAATTAATATATGTTCTGTATAATTGTACATTACTTTCTAAAAGTGAATGAGCGCATTATTGCTGACTTACACTGTTAAATGTATAGTGTCAAATTTAACTTAATATAAGTCCACTGCTCTTACTAAATATATCATTATTTTATACTAAAACAATAATTATATTTGACATTATCGTGTCAATTTGATCACTATGTAGTGTCAAATTGATATTATATAATGTCAAATATAAATAATATTGTTTGAGTATAAAATAACGATAATAATTAAGTGCTATTTGTTTTAATTAAAAAAACATTTTTTTTTAAACTGTTTAGTTTGTAAGTCTTTGCTTTTGTTTTTTATTTTTTATCCTTTTATTATATTCTTTTTATCATATGATTTTAGTTTTTAATTGCATTTTAGTTTTTATTTTTTTATTTTTCATCATTGCAAATTTTAATGTTTACATGATGGCCAATGATAAATGTAAATATCCACAACACACATTTTTAAGGAACGTTCTAAAAATGTTCAAGGACATCTGTCTGTTCTAAAGACGTTTCCAGGATGTTTCTCGGATAAAGTGTGCTCTATGGACTTGTAATAATCATGATTTAATAAATAATACAATAAAATTTATTAATAGCTTTGTCCAAGCACTTGATATGCGTACCAAGTAAATATTCATACTAAATTAATTTAATAAACGATATTACATAAGGCGTATCTAATTGTTACAATACACATTAAAAAGATGTATTAAACTATAATAGTATGTACATTTAATATATATACAGGATATCTCAAACTTTTTGATACATCGTTTGTGAGCAAATAGATCTTCGAATTAAATTGAATAAAAAAATTCTATATAATTTTGCAATTTTCGCAATAATTAACGAGATGTTAATTTTTAAAGTTTGAAAAAGCGAACGTAAAATCGATGTATAAAACAAGATTTCTTTCAAAGTTCTTTACGAATTATCTTAAGCCTATTCTATGTACTTTTTGTTTCCTCTTTTTTGTTTTTGCTAGCTATTTTTTACATCTTGTTTTTTTGCTCCTTATCCTTAGGTTTTTTTGTTTCATGTCGTCCGAGATAAAAGTTAAGGAACTTCGAAAAAAACAAGAAATACAATTGAAGCAAGAAATATAATTGTCGATAAAACGGTTGCAAAAGAGAAAAAAGTAAAAAGTAAAAAGAAACAGGAAACAAAGAACACATTGTAGAATAGGCTTTAAAGATGCTTCTTGAAGAACTCTTAAAGATATTTTAAAATTGTTTCGTGTGTCAATCTTTTACATTCTGCTCATTGTAATTAAAAAAAAATTGCGAAAATGGTAAAAGACTTTCCGACTCAATTTAATTCATTCTACCTATCTATAAGTGATATGTTAAGAAATGTATAAAACGTATTATATATGTTGTAAGATATTCAAAGGTCGGATGTTTGGACTTTATCTCAATAAAAGAAAAATATTCTTTTGAATAAAAAACTACATAAATTGATTCTTACGTAATCATATTGCGTAAATTTTTTATGAAGTTTCATAGTGATTTGTATAAAAGTGATATTATTGCATTACTTGATGTAAATAATACTTATAATTTTATTCAAATTTAATTAGAATATAGTTTACTTAAGTAAATTTATACACACATATTTTAAAATACGTTATGATTTTTTATTGAACATACGTATAATATTAATATATTGTTTTTAAACACAAACCTTCCTTCTTTTGTAAAAACGCATACATAAATTTAAATTTAATATTAATATTCTATGAAATAAAAAAATAAATAATACTTATATTGACATGTTACCTAAATTATTATGAAAAATCTTATTACATTTTCGTGTAGATTCAGTATTTGTTGTATGACCAGCAGACTTAATTAGAAATGAGTCGAAATTTTTATTACTTAAATTGTGATCTATTGGCTCAACTCCTTTACGATATCTTCGTTTATAAGTCGATGATTTGTATGTTTTTCGTTTCTTATGGATATCATGAAATATTTCGCGAATCGATCGCGAATTAGATACTTGTTTCAACTCATAGAAAAATACTATTGTAGATGCAAGAAGTCCAACAATGAGTACTAAAAATCCAACACCTAATGGTGTCAGCCCAAGGCGTCTATAAATTCCATCAAGACCATCGTGCTCCTTGACAACTTCACGAAGATTAAAATTAATTCTTCGGTGCATAACATTATTAAGATGAAAGAGGGCGATACCACTTTCCCTTAACCAAAGCATTACCTAAAAAATAAGTAAATGTTTAAATGAGAAAAAATATTTCGCTGACATGATATCTTCATAACACATGTCCACTTTTATTAACGTAGATTTAAATTTTAATCTCGATTTAATTTTATCTTTCTCTAATTCTTATAACTAGAAAAGAATAAAAATAAGTTAAACTGAACTAAAGTTAATTTACACTGACAGAAACTAACAATAGTTTTTTATAAGTTTTATTTGTCGAAATAAAAAAAGATTATAAATAATTTGATTTTTACTTCGAATTACTGATTATTATAATTTTATTCATACAATTTTATTATAATTTTGATTATTATAATTTTGTACTACTTAACATATTTAATCACTGTCTGTTAACATTAAATATATAATATGTTTGTATTAATCTCTTATAAAATCAATCTTAAATATTCTGATAAAGAAAATAATTTTAAATTTAGCTATAAACAATATATTTTTACAATATTTTGTAAATAACAGATATAAGAATAACAATTAAATGTATGATTGTCATATTACCATGTCAATAGGTTGTAATAGCCACGATTGAACCACAAACGACGAATAATAATTGCCTGTGCTTTCTTTCATGAGTCTATAATTCTTACAAACACAGTTTACGGTTTATTTTGGTTATTTTTAATGTTTGAAATAAACGCATTCTTGCTTCTTACTTTAATATATTCGTTGAAGATATCATCTTCAGGAAAGAAGATTGAGTCTATGACAAATCCGTAAATTGCAAATTTACGCTGTTTGATTAATGTATGTATGTGTGCCTCTTGACTTTTCACAGATATATATCTCAACGACAACTGACTCGCGTAAATATCCTAAAATCATGTATGTTTATCATGTTGTTAGTAAGAAAAATGACCGTTTGTATGAATATAAATTTTACTTACATCCAAGTCAAAGTAGTCAGGCCAATATGGTTCTGGACCTTTATGACCCCATAATAAATCAGCTTCGAGAAATTGACGTATCGTATCGATTCTATAAACAATAAATATAATACGATTTAGATATTTTTTACTCTGAATATAAATAAAAAACGATCCTCTTTAATAAAAAGAAAAAAGATTCTCCTTAATAAAGAGAAGTTAGTGTATGTGACAAATAATTGTTCATTAATCAATTAAATTATAATAATAAACACATATAAAAAATAAGAGCATAAAAAACCACAGCACAAGTTATAGTTTGTGATATTTAATTATTATTACATTAATTAAAACATTAAACGTTTCGGCCACAATCTGGCCATCTTCAGTAATTCAATAATATTCTTAAAACGCAGAGTTACATCTAGTTGACATTAAATTCAACAGTCGAGAGTTGTAATTAAATAAACATGTTCTTTTATATGTGAAGATGCTTCATACAGTAATGTTACACCGTCAATTGTCATATCAAGAAAAGTGTAGAACAAGAATTTCCAGATTCTAAATAAAATTGTATATATTAAAATCTTCTAGTCGGAATATAAAGAAATAGAATCATTGTTTTACAAAAAAACCA